GCCAATAAGCACTCCGGCTCCTTCATCACAACCATCGATAAACGGTAGGTCCTTTAAGTGTTCCCAACTGCGCAGGCGTTCTGGCTCCGGTATCATCCTCTGTAACTTCGGCATCATTTTGACGGCCCACGCATGATCCACATGCAGTGATTTACCTCCTTCTAGCGGTTACAACTCTAGGCGTACAACTTGCGAGCACATTGTTGAATCACCGTTAACCGTTGCTATTTGTACCACTGACGGTCTGGCTGAAAAGTCAAGCATTTGCAACAGCTGTTCATCGACCAGTGACGAATCAGACCCTGGGTCAAGTAAACATTGGTCACCAGTGATTTGGTTTTTCCACGCAGCAGCATTGGAATAATCCCTAAAGCTATTCGACCCCACGACACATTCGTTTCGTTTACCACAGCTCTTGGTGAAGTTAGTTGGTTCGTCTTGGCTTCGTGTAGTAAAGGATGATGTTTCAACTGGCAACCGTTGAATCCGCACGTGACTCGGGATCTGCAAAGCTCAGACGTGTGGTTAGCTTTGAGGCACAGTTCACATAGACTCTTTCCAGAAACGAGCAGCAAGCGTTCAGAATGACCAAAGGCTTGAACTCGGGGGCACTGATCAAGGTAATGGTGCGCTGTGCACGCGACACAAGAGGGCGCGCGTCTCTGAGTCTGCGGCACTGTTCCTCCGGTTGCCAAGGTAGTTATGCGATTGCCACGTCTTTGAGGTCTTTCTGCCGTGTAGGGTCCTTCAGTCCTTCTAATGATTTCATTCGAGTACATAGCCTGAGTAGTAACAATCTCAGCCACGTCACAAACAAACTGGTACAGGTCTTTAAAGGCGGGCTCTCTACAAGTGCGGAGGATACTGGTAGCTTTCTTTGACCAATCGAGCTAAAGTGAGAAAGGCAGTCGCCTAAGCAACGCCGACACCGTCACAGTCGCGTTCAGATCGGCCTCGTAATTTAGTTGTTGCAGCGTATTTAAGCCAGTTTTCCTCTGCCCGGCTAATCTGTGGAGCGCTTTCGAATCATTCACCTTGATCGATGGTCCTTTGACTAGACTTTCGATGTAAGCTCTGGCAATCAAGTGAGGGCGGCCGAATCTCAATTTGAGCGTCTCCATGGCATCAAGAAAACCCTCTTCCGGATCCAATATAACACAACTCTCAATAGCCTCGCGTGCCTGGCCTTCACAGTAACTAATCAGATATGAAAGTCTCACACAAGGGTCAGAGGTAATACTCATGACATTGGCTTGGAAACTTCGTATAAACGACCAATATTTCATCGGATCCCCGTCGAAAAGTACAATTTCCCTTTTTGGTAGACCTGCGATAGCATCCGGAGCAGATGGAACTAATTCGTTGAACTCAGGCTGCTGGATTCGAACCTGTGAAAACTGGGCGAAATCCCGCGCCGTATCCGACAACACCATCCGTCTACGTCCCCCACCTCTTTCCGTGAGGCCTTCAGCATAATTATTAGACACGGGAAATCCAGATAACTCAGGCAGAACAAGCGTCGCTTTACCGTCCAGCATAACTGTTTCAGCACGTACCTTATTTGTATTACTAAGCTTAAAGCATCCAGACGACTTTCCAATTCCGCAATTCTACGCATTGCAACAGAGAGCTGATCAGACGTTGTCATAGCTGCGTTATCCTCGCTGTGCTGTGAATGCTCTGACAAAGAATGCCTCCATAATTCGTTCATCGGAGCGCAAGTTCACTATTCCGCTTGTGTTACGGCAGAGCGTATGAGGCTAATCGTATCACCTAACTAACGCACGGTCTGGGCAGTTAAAATGCAGGGCAGTGGGCGGAATGAGTATACTGAATAACCGTGGTTGAATAGGTAATGCGACTCGCTACTTCGGGCAGCAATTATTCCACGTCAGCAGTTAAGTCTGCGCAAATGGCGAATAGTCCGTAAAATTGGCACAGTAAAACAAATTACAACCGATGAGACGCAAACCGTAAGTTCACAACAATTAAGCAAAGAAAAAAAGAGATAATAAATGCAGAAAAATTGCAGGGTTTTATCAGTTTGTTAAAGCCGAACATTTGTGCATGAACAGGTAAACTCGAGTACCATACCGTCCAACGGGAAAAATATAAAGAAATGGAACTACTGGTAAATGTGCAGTAGTATAGTTCAGAATCGTGAATTTAGAATTCACAGAGGCAATTACACTCATTTACACTTGGGGAAATCCGATTACATTTTAAATAAATAAATAAATAAATAAACTTTTTTCTCGACAATGCTAGGCACACCTGTACAGGCATGATCATGTTTAGCTAACATAGTGTGATCAAAATGTACAAAGAGTAAATGTTTGGCATAACAGTGAATGTAAGTGTATGGGTGTATATATGTATGCAATTGTCTATGAATGTAGCTTGTATTTTTGAATGTGCCGCAGAATTTTTGACTGTTATCGGTAGGGATGTGAGAATAAGCGATTGAGGTCCGTGGGTTGGATACCATTTTTCGGATGTCCACGGGCAAGTGACTTTATTTTGTGGCGAGTCACATCCGCCACGTCACAGTGTTGTTAAGCGGACATTTGTGGCCTTTTATAGGGAGAACGCTTGCCGGGCGAAAACCCACCACGTCCTGGAACACTGCCGCCGAACTATTTGCTGGAACGGGTTAAACCCGAACCACCCAGCTGGCACCACAAGGAGTTAGAAACTCATAACGACCCCGCGCTGGACAAAGAATGGCCTTTCTGCCTGTTATAGACGTATTCAGCCACAAGGAACAAATGCACTCACCATCCCATGACACGTCCAGCGTGGATATCTGGACACGGTTTGCAAACCGGAAAAGTATATAACAGAAAAAGCCAGCCTCTAGCGACAACGTTTTTACTCACCTGCACCATTTATCATTCGACTCTGCGACTCTTTCGCATCGTTATCAGGTTCCAAAGACTACTGCTGATACACTACCAAGCCACCCGGTCAACCAAGTAAGAATTTTGGCTGTCTACAGCCTGCGAATAATAGAGTGCAAAATCAGTCTGTACGATGGATAGCCGGCTAGCACTACGGTTCAGCGGAAGATACAGCAGTGTTCCAGGAAGTATAGGGTTTCGCGTTGCAATCCTTCTCCCTATAAAAAGCCACAAATGTCCGCTTAACAACACTGCAAGGTGGCGGATGTGACGCGCCACCGAATAAAGTCACAGCTGAACATTTCACACTGACGCAGTCCTCGGACTTCTACATACAACCTGTGCAACTGATTTCACTAGGAAGAATGCGTTAATGGATAATTGCACATTCCGATTTCTTAACGTTCATTGATTGCACCAAAACCTTGTTTGGGCTCCTGTGCTGATGGATTGCTACATGGCGAAATCACGTTCAACTTGTATCTTGGCATAACAGTTATGACGGATTTTTACGCCTTCCAGCGGCTTCTTGTTTCTTGGTCTGACTATTACCTGACGAAATGCTCATTCGTATGGACTACATGTTTTCTGTTTTACCTTTTATAGAAACGAAATGTTTTACTATTCCAAAGAACCTATGCTTATATGCATGTTTGTTCACTCCTTCAGTGATGTGCCACGTTTTACTGAGAGTATACCATTTATTTATTTACTTATTTATATACGTCCTGTTATGAGCCGGGGTCCTTGGGGTATGCCGTGGGAGTGGCAGTAAATACAGCTGATTAAATCCGGGTCGCGGAAGTGTCGTTTTCCTTTACGGGTATGCGTCTGATGCTAGACATTATAGTGTCTAAATTAGTTGATCGCAAGCATGTGTGCATTGGTGCAGAACCTCGGGCTTCAACCTGCAATGCGTGCTCTTCTACCGAAGTCCATCTGTCTCATAATAAGATGCATTACCTGAACTTCGTTATAGCGGATCTCGGAATGCATGAAAGCGCCTTAATACAGACCAATTTTTAAGCAAACCTCTCGGATTCTTAGGAGAAGTTATAGGTTATCAGGTTGGTAGATGTCCTCGCAGCATGTGTATATACGTTGGTGCAATCTTCCACCATTCCAAATGCTACCTCTAAGTCAATGCTCATGAAACGGGTATCGTTCACGGGTGCAGCCTGACACAGCGTGCCTTGACACCAAAACGGATGGTCAGACGCCATACATTCTCGACCGGATTCTCCCCTCGGCGAAACCTTATGTCTCGTGCCTAAACATTCCACGACCACTAAGAAAGACAGCTCACTGGAAACTCCGCCTTTTCGTGGACACGACTCCTCAAAATCCACGATCCTGTTCCAGCGAAGTGCTCGGTGGCAGAGTTGCAGGACGTGGTCGTTCACCAACTGACGAGCCTTCACCCTATTAAAAGCCACCTATATCTAGCTAACACTGTGCCGTGGGGAGAGAACTTGCCACTAAACAAAACCATTGCTTTTCGATTCACCTCGGTGAAACGTTGTACTGCATCAAGTATGTGCTGATAGCATGGTGCGGTTTGCGCCACGGCAAGTTGTCCCAGCGAACAAAAGACTTAGCAACTTAGTATTCCGTTATCAACTCCACATGTGGCCATTCATTGAATGCTTACCAATGCCTTGCGGGTAGCATACTTAGTCAAAGGCTTGGGATGGCGTTCACCTATTTCATGGGACATCTTTACGCACAAGCATTTCAAGTAAAATGCATCGACCGAAAGGGTCGAACAAAAGGTTGCTAACCGGAACCCAATGGTATTCCACTTGCTTAGCTCTTTCCACTTTCTCGTCTGCCTTCTGAGTTTACTTTTTTCTCTTTCTTACTTCATGTAACCGACCAAGCAGGGACTGCTAAGGCAGGATACAAGGGCATTAATTATTTGACAGGGTGTGACGCCGCCTTTGTTTTAGGTCTATCAGTATTTCAAGGTTCGCCAATTCCTGGTTCAACGACCCGCCAAAGATGGAACACTCACGGGATAATCCTGTCGTTCCAGTCCCGCTTGAACTTGAACTTGACCTTGAACTCACCCTTGGAAGCACGCCCAGTCATTCTGCGAGCATGAATTCCGGGGTGTGCTCCTTTAATGAGTTTCATCTTCTCAATCTGGATCAACGGATTTTGAAGGTAAAATAAAAATGTTCTTCTTTTACCATGCGAGGCAATTAATGAACTAAGATGGGAAAAGCCTACAGACATTCAACAAGCAATTATACCCCTTATTTTTGAGGGAAAAAGCATCGTTGTTCAAGCTAAAACCGGCTCCGGTAAAACCGCTGCATATGCGATCCCTATTATACACGAGCTACTTCAGGAAAAACAGGTAACTATTCTACAGCTCTAAATTTCGATAAGCTTCGCGCAGCTCAATGTACAACTGTTCTTGTTCTCGCCCCTACGAAAGAGCTTTGTAGCCAGGCGACTAAAAACTTCCGTGCAATTTGCAAGTACTCCTCAAATTCTATATATTTCACCGACTTGTCGCAGCATACAGATGTGGACGTCATGAGGTATGAGGGTTTCTTTCCTTTCATCCCCTACAGGCCGCTTTTAGCTGAAAATCCGGACATCGTCATTGGGACCCCTGCACGCGTTATTTCTCATCTAAGATCCGGACACTTTCGCCTGAGAGATCTTAAACACTTGGTCGTTGATGAAGCGGACCTCGTGTTCGCCTTCGGCTACCAGGCTGAGATGCAAGAACTAAGGCAGTATTTTCCTGATCGTCATATTCAGGTGAGTCCAGTTACTCTTCTGCGTTCTGTTTGACCGTAGTGCTCCAGAGATAATTGCTATTTAGTTAAGACGTGAATGTTTAGCCATTGTGCATCGTTCCTCGATTCTTCTATCTTTTATGTTTTTGGTATACTAATTTTGATCAGGCATCAGCTGTTGGCTGGTTCAGCGGAACAGCTGTTATCCGTTCACCGAAGTGCGTTGGATCTAGTTGCCACGACTTAGGTCGCCAGAATAACAACACATAACGACAGTAAATAAATGAGGCTCAAACAGATAGGTCTGTTTCCAAGTACTAAATAGACCCGCCTAACGAGCTTTACTTTACTTTACTGTCATGATAGCGAGAAAGATGTTGAACATCTATGTAGCTGTATCTCAATGTAGGACATGTCCCACTGACACAGTATTACCTGTAGTAGTGAGCAAGCCCAGGTGAAAAAAGTAAAATATTTACAAGCATAGAAAAAATCTCCATGTACTTACGATATATTCTTAGATGAACCACATGGAGTCCTTCACCAGCTCCGCCGCCTATTACGGATGGGCATCGTTTCGGAAGCTGCAGTTGGTGGATTAACGGGCTCCATGGGTTATAATCATTGAACGATTCCTTCGTCAGTTTCCTATGAAGGCTTCGTCGAATCTGGCATCCGCAAAGTGCGCGTCCAGGAATCGTTTGAATTCCGACACCGAGTTCGCTTCTGCTATCCGCGAGGGCAAACGGTTCCACATGTTCACCACTCGCCGCTCAAGACACAAGGGATGAGCTACCCACTTGAGGTCAGGGACTAACAGTTTGTACTGGTGACCTCGTGTGCTGCTTGATGCACGGACATGGAGCAGTGGCCTCAGCATCGGATAAGCACCCAGATGCAATGCCCGATGGGTCATGATGAGGTCCACTCGCACGCGGCGGTAGGCTAGAGTATACAGACCCAATTGTCTGCATCTTTCTTCATACGGCACACCCTGAAGACCGGGAATGAGCCGTGTGTCTATGTGTTGTACTCTTTCGAGCTTGTGTATCTCGCCTTCCGTCAACGGACAGTAGGCGGATGAGCCGTATTCTAGCACCGGTCGTACAATGGATGTGAAGAGACGAGTGGCAGTCTCTTTCGACCAGGTGCAGAAGCTACGTTTCAGCGCCCACAGCGAACGCAATGCTGTGCGATACATATTGTCCGTGTTGTCCAGTGACTTCATGTCGTAACGTTGTATAACGCCAAGGTTTCTGACGCAATGCGTCGGGTGTAGAACTTGGCCGTCGAGAGTGTACGATCTGCCCGCTCCACCTTTACCGAGGCACAGAAGTAGCGATTTTGCCGAGTTGATAGGCAAACTTACTTCGGCGGACCACATGGAGAGGCGGTCGAGGTCCTGCTGAAGTATGTCAAAGTCGTCCGACGTATGGATCACCCTCCATAGCTTCAGGTCATCCGCGAACATGGCACACGGCGACCGAAGGAGATTGGGCAAAACGTTGATGTGAATCAGGAAGAGAATGGGGCCAAGCACCGTCCCCTGAGGAACGCCGCTCGTCGACGGGTATCAGTCGGTCAGGTGGCTGTCGACTTGCACCATCCACTTCCGTCCAACTAAGAAGTCACGGATCCATTGATGCAGCGAGCCTCCGACTCCGCACTCCCTCAGTTTCTAAAGGAGGATCTCGTGATTCACTCTGTCGAAGGCCTTACTGAAATCGACGTATACCACGTCGACTGACTTACGTTGGTTTACTGCTTGCAACCATTCATGCCATGTTAGCAGCAGGTTAGTGATGCACGAGCGGCCTCTCACGAAACCATGCTGTGCAGGCGTCAGGAGAGAGTTGGTCTCCAGTAGCTGGAGCAGTCTCTTCTTCACAATCTTCTCCAGAACTTTCGACAATACTGCGGTCAAACAAATAGGGCGGTAATTCTCCACTTTGCGTGTCACCGCCTTTTGGAATCGGTTTGACAACGGCGCATTTCCAGTCACAAGGCACGCAGCCTATGGACAGGGATCGGTTGAACAGGTCGGTTACAGCAGGTGAGATCACAGCTGACAAGGACTTGAGTATCAGCGGATGGAGACCATCCGGTCCAGCTGGCTTCGTGCTGTCTAGGCAGCTGACTAGCCCATGTATCTCCGCGACGTCGCAGATCAAGTCGGTTAGCTCAGTCGGTGCGGCGACGGCAGAGCTTGGCGCACAGGTTTGGTTAGTTGCGAATACAGAAGCGAAGTGTGCCGCTAATGCGGACGCACGCTCGGTGCTTGAACTTAGTGGTTGTCCGTCCGAACCCACTAGCACCGGCACATCACCTGCAGACTTCAGGCGTCGCTTCACGTACGCAAATATGCGCTTCGGGGCAGTTTTAGCTGAGCAAGCAAGCTGCTCCTCAAACTGACGGCGTTTTCGCGTCTTTGTGCTGTTGCACAAGTTTCGTTGTCGCTTGTATGCCTCATAGTCATCGGCAGAGCCAGACAGGAGGAACGCATTCCATAGTCGACGCCGTTGTCGAGACAGTCGGTTATACTCTTTGTCAAACCAATGGGGTTTCATTGGTCCAACTTTCCGAGTCTTGAGGGGTACAAATTGCGCACACAATGAGTGCACTGCCCCTTTAATGTTTGCCCAACAAGTTTCAACGGATGAATCCTGTGGCATAGACCAATCAAGCTGATTGGCAGCTAGAATGAGGCCATCGAAGTCAGCTTTCCAATAGTTGTATGTTGGCGCCACTGGACGCACACATGGAAGCTGCAGGTCTATAGTGGCCATAATTGTCGAGTGATCACTGGCCGCCATGGGCTCAAGAACTTCTATGTCATGCACTGTTTGTTCGCAGCTGGTTAGCAGCAGGTCCAGGCATGATGGCATTGAGCGCGGGGTTATGCGAGTGGGTTGCGTGATGTGCTGCACCGTTCCGGTTTCCAGTACCAGTTCGGCGAATCTTGTCTCCACTTCATTATGGCCAGGGAGAAGCTGAACTTCAGGCCATAAGATTCGAGGAAGGTTAAAGTCGCCAGTGAGCAGAAACTGCGGGTGACTCATTTGGTTTTGGACGTGTGTGAGCCAATCCAATCCGCTACTCAGTGGGCTACGATATGCCACACCCACAAGCAGTTCGCCGCGTCGTAGGTGGATCGAACACCACAGCTGCTCACATAGACCGTCAATGCTTCGGTAGGTGCTCACGAGTCTCCCGCACAGGGTAGACCGGAGGTAAAGTAGGACGCCACCGCGGCTATTCGACTGTCGATCACAGCGGAAGCACGAATAGTCCGTGATCGCAATTTCTTCGCTTGTCACTTCAGATGTCAACCACGTCTCAGCCAAACCAACCACATCTGGCCGACGTGAAGCAATGAAGCGGATCAGATCATCGTGCTTGTTCATTAAGCTGCATACATTAATGAACGCTACACGCAATCCGCGGTAGGAACCGATGGGCGAGCTTGAAGCGTCATTGCTCCGTTTACCCGGATTCGGGGTATTCGGGCAACTGTGCGAAAATTTACGATACGCAGGTTAGTTTCACCGGCGTCCGTGCGTCGTTTCAGTTCGATCACGGCGGACTTCAGCTGCTCTCGTTCTGCGGGATCAAGGTCTGGCCGGACATGAATTTTCATCCCCTTTTGGTGACCGAGGCGGGACAGTACTAACCTTGGGGCAGTTTCGTCGGCGAACGCGATGCGCAGAGGCCGACACTTGCCATCAACTTGTTTCCCCAGACGAGTGACTTGTTTCACTCGTAACCCGGGTTCGCCAACATCCAGTAGTTTGTCGGTTAGTGACTGCAAGAATTGCACATCATGGTCATAGTGTACCTGGGGACTGGGATCAGTCGACTCAGGTGCGTGGAAAATCATGACGTTGCATAGCCGTCCCCGTGGTGACTTGCTATCGCTTGGCTTCACCGGTTTCGGTAAGGCCGGTTTCTCGGCTAGCAATTTCTCAAGTCGTGTTACCTTGTTTAGCACAGACTTTAGTTGTGACACTAGACGGTGATTTCGATTTGTTGTTGTTTACCGTCTTACAACTTTTCTTTTTAGGGGCCTGGACTCAGCCGGGTGGTTTTGCGGCGCCAGCGCTGGCCACGGCTGCGTAGGTCGCAGTTGCAGTTGGAGTGCCGACAGACGGCTTTTTTCGGTTGTCTTGTGAACTATGCATTGGTGTGTCCGCTGATGAAGCGGAGGAGGAGCGGCTTCGATTGCGCACAGTATGGATGCATGGAGGAGTCACCGGCGGTAGTACGGGCGTCACCAATGCGGCGTTATTATCTGTCTTTTTCGCCAAAGTCAGATTCGCCAGAAGGGACTTATCGTTAACAATAAGTCGGCATTTGTCACAGTGGAATGTTAGCGCGGAAGATGCCGTTCTTTTCAGGCATTCATAAAGATCGTGCTCAATGCCGCTGCACGTTGTGTGGGCCCATCCTTCGCACAGACCGCACTGCAGCGCTTTAGACCGAGAAGTGACATTTCTGCTGCAGCTCAGGCACTTAGATGCTGCTGCTGCTGCTCTCGTTTTGTCGAGAGTAGCGTCCAAAGTGCTAGACGCACGGGAGGTCGCAGCTCGCTGGACCTTGCTCGTCATGCTTGATGTCTTGTGGATAGGTGTCGCTATCCAAATCACCTTGGATGTGTGAAGGAATTTGACAGACGTCAAATTCTATTATCAATGTGTGTTGAAAAACCGGTATTCAAGCGTATTTCACTTGTAAGACAAACGTATAGCAAGAATGGGAACGAGCCACCGGACGTCGTTATCCGCAGACCAACCAAGGGCAAGCAGACCAACCAAGAGCTTCCTGTTTCTCATACCGATAGACAAACCAGGGCCTCCAATACTTCGACGTTTGAGTTGCTTCCCTTGGTTTTGAAAAAGAAATGAAGTACATGAGCAATCTGTGTGCTTTCTTAGATCATAGACTTCAAGATCTGACAATTGCCAATAAATTTACAATAATCAACACATCCAAGCCATTTCCATGTCATTGGACTGTTGAGAGCAG